TAACTTTACTCACAATAACTTTACTCCCAAGAGTAACTTCACTCCCAGTAACTTCACTCAGAGTAACTTCACTCCCAGTAACTTTACTCACAATAACTTTACTCAGAGTAACTTCACTCCCAATAAATTTACTCCCAGTAACTTTACTCAGAGTAACTTTACTCCCAGTAACTTTACTCACAATGACTTTACTCACAATTTTACTCACAGTAACTTTACTCAGAGTAACTTCACTCACAATAACTTCACTCCCAGTAACTTCACTCACTACAACTTTACTCACAATAACTTCACTCAGAGTAACTTTACTTACAATAACTTTACTCCCAGTAACTTTCCTCAGAGTAACTTTACTCACAGTAACTTTACTCACAATAACTTTACTCTCAGAGTAACTTTACTCCCAGTAACTTCACTCCCAATAACTTCACTCCCAGTAACTTTTCTCACAATAACTTCACTCACAACTTTACTCCCAGTAACTTTATTCAGAGTAACTTCACTCAGAGTAACTTTACTCACAATAACTTCACTCCCAGTAACTTTACTCAGAGTAACTTCACTCACAATTTTACTCACAATAACTTTACTCCCAGTAACTTTACTCCCTGTAACTTTACTCACTGTAACTTTACTCAGAGTAACTTCACTCCCAATAAATTTACTCCCTGTAACTTTACTCAGAGTAACTTTACTCACTACAACTTTACTCCCAATAACTTTACTCCCAGAGTAACTTCACTCACAATAACTTCACTCACAGTAACTTCACTCCCAGTAACTTTACTCACAATAACTTCACTCACAGTAACTTCACTCACAATTTTACTCAGAGTAACTTTACTCACAATAACTTTACTCACAATAACTTTACTCACAATTTTACTCCCAGTAACTTTACTCAGAGTAACTTCACTCACAATAAATTTACTCCCAGTAACTTCACTCCCAGTAACTTCACTCAGAGTAACTTTACTCCCAATAACTTCACTCACAGTAACTTCACTCCCAGTAACTTTAACTTTACTCACAATAACTTTACTCACAGTAACTTTACTCCCAGTAACTTTCCTTACAATAACTTTACTCCCAGTAACTTCACTCCCAGTAACTTCACTCTGAGTAACTTTACTCACAATAACTTTACTCCCAGTAACTTTAACTTTACTCCCAATAACTTTACTCCCAGAGTAACTTCACTCCCAGTAACTTCACTCACAATAACTTCACTCAGAGTAACTTCACTCCCAGTAACTTTACTCACAATAACTTTACTCAGAGTAACTTCACTCACAATAACTTCACTCCCAGTAACTTTACTCTCAGAGTAACTTTGCTCAGAGTAACTTTACTCTCAGAGTAACTTTGCTCAGAGTAACTTTACTCCCAGCAACTTTACTCAGAGTAACTTTACTCACAGTAACTTCACTTACAATAACTTTACTCAGAGTAACTTTACTCACAATAACTTCACTCCCAGTAACTTTACTTAGAGTAACTTTACTCAGAGTAACTTCACTCCTAGTAACTTTACTCCCAGTAACTTTAACTTTACTCCCAATAACTTTACTCAGAGTAACTTCACTCCCAATAACTTTACTCACAATAACTTTACTCACAGTAACTTTAACTTTACTCAGAGTAACTTTACTCCCAGTAACTTTACTCCCAGAGTAACTTTACTCCCAGTAACTTTACTCCCAGAGTAACTTTACTCACAATAACTTTACTCCCAGTAACTTTACTCCCAGTAACTTTACTCCCAGTNTTATTTTTGAGTTATTTTTGAGTTAATTTTGAGTTATGGGTGAGTCCATTTTGAGTCCATTTTGAGTTATTTTTGAGGGTTTTTTGAGTGATTTTTGAGTGTTTTTTGAGTTTTTTTTGAGTTTTTTTTTAGTTTCTTGAGGGTTTTTTTGAGTTTTTTTTTGAGTTATTTTTGAGTTAATGGTGAGTTATGGGTGAGTTAGTTTTGAGTTAGTTTTGAGTTAGTTTTGAGTGAATATTGAGGTTATTTTTGAGGTTTTCTGATTTTTTTGAGGTTTTTTGAGGTTTTTTAGTTATTTTTGAGGGTTTTTTGATTTTTTTAAAATTTTTTTCTGAGGGGTTTTTTGAGGTTATTTTTGAGTTAATTTTGAGTTATTGGTGTGTTATTGGTGAGTTATTTTTGAGATTATTTTTGAGGGTTTTTGAGTTTTTTTGAGTTTTTTTTATTTTTTGAGATTTTTTTTGTTTTTTGCATTATTTTTGAGGTTATTTTTGAGTTATTGGTGAGTTATTTTTGAGTTATTTTTGAGTTATTGATGAGTTATTTTTGAGTTATTTTTGAGGTTAATTTTGAGTTATTTTTGCAGTATTTTTGAGTTAATTTTGAGTTAATTTTGAGTTAATTTTGAGTTATTGGTGAGTTATTCTTGAGGTTATTTTTGAGGGTTTTTTGAGGGTTTTTTGAGTTTTTTAAAAATTTTTTTCTGAGGGGTTTTTTGAGTTGTTTTTGACTTAATTTTGAGTTATTGGTGAGTTATTGGTGAGTTATTTTTGAGATTATTTTTGAGATTATTTTTGAGGTTATTTTTGAGTTATGGTTTTTTTTTAGTTTTTTTTGAGTTTTTTTATTTTTTTGAGTTAGTTTTTGAGGTTACTTTTGAGTTAATTTTGAGTTAATTTTGAGTTATTGGTGAGTTACTGGTGATTTTTTTTGAGTTATTTTTGAGGGGTTTTTGAGTTTTTTATTTTTTGAGGGTTTTTTTTAGTTTTTTGAGTTTTTTTGATTTTTTAAATTTTTTTGTGTTATTTTTGAGTTTTTTTCTGAGTTAATTTTGAGTTGATTTTGAGTTATGGGTGAGTCCATTTTGAGTTATTTTTGCGGTATTGGTGATGTCTGAAAGGTGAT